CCGCCGTGTGTAGGGGCCGTGAGGGTTAACAGCTAACGGCTGATGTTGGTTTTGTGTTTCGCATTGAAGATGACGCCACAGCTCCACGACACTGCGTTACTATAGTTACAGCCCCAGCTACTAAACTGTAATGGAAACGCAGCATAAAGTGAGCTAGGCCTACCAAGGCCTAACGAGGCCTAACGGGGCCTAGCCATACTGTACTAAGCCGAGCGAGGCCCTGCTGTGGAAAAGCGCCGTATGTGACACTTGCGCTTCTATTGGCTCACATTGTACGTGATAGGTTAAGGGGCGGGGCATCTCTAAGCTGTTGACCAATCACAACCGAGCTGACCAGCTAACCAATCAAAGCACACTGGGCTGTGGTTTCAGACAGAGGGTGAAAAGAGGAGCAGGCCGTATGAGATGAAATGAGCATATTTCAGACCAACTGTACTGTGGATATTCTCTTGAATACTGATTTGGTTGCTCTGACAACTTTTACAAATATTTACAATGGATTAAATAAATATGTCTGCTGTAAAATGTGTGTGACAAAACAACAGGAAGTTGTCATCCAACCCTTTACTAACATGTTCTGTGATATATTGTGATTATCAATGAGCTTCATGACAAAACATTTAATTATTGCAGATTTCACTGACGAGCTCTGCCATTTTATCAAGTGAATTACATTCAGTGTTCAGTAACAAACTGTATTTAGTGTTGAGGTCAGCTTCTATTAATAATATACCAAACGTGTCTTCAAAATTTCTGCAGCAGCACAGATGTTTTCAGTGATGTCTGACTTCAAACATCTCTTGAATTTACACAAATGGCAGCCGCAGCTTTCAGAGCTATTCATATCACAAGCTAAAAATAAATGTTGTGCTTCTTATGCCACAGCTGATCACAATCTACCATCCTGCTAGAAAAGCACAACTCCTGACCTAAGATGCTACTTTCTGCTTCAATAGATGTTACAAACCTGCTGCCACACAGCCGCTCCCTCTGTGCTAAATATAGACATCAAACTGACGCTGAGTGATCGATGAGAAAAGGATTATTCACACGCTGCCGGTACATGTTTACACTTGTTTTGACCAAAGTGTGCTCAGCAACAACACAAAGGAAACTGTTTCAATTCAGGCTTTAGTCTAATGCATGGTGCAAAAACAAATATTACATCAGAAGAATATGCGATTTTAAATGAATAATAACAAGCTGGTTTGATTCAGGGGAGATATGCGTTTGTGCAGAATTGCATGTACTATGAACACATTCAGAAACCAGTAAAGAGTCAAAGTGAAAGACAACCTTATTGAGAGGATCGAAATTCCGTTTTTCACCTTCCAAGAGAATAACAATATAAGAATACATATATAAATATGTTTATATACATACATACACACACACACACACCTTACACCACTTATATATATATCTATATATATACAGTATACATACACATAAATAGACTGCTAAACGGTGAATTCAAAAATAATATAAATTATTTCAACTGTACAAATATGTACACTATAATCAGAGAAGTACTCAGATCTTGTACTTGAGTAAAAGTAGAAGTACCAGAGTGTAGGAATACTCTGTTACAGTAAAAGTCCTGCATTCAAGTAAAAACAGAAAAGTATTATCATCAAAATATACATAAAGTACCAAAAGTAAAAGCAGTCATTCTGCAGATTGGTCCATTTCAGAATAATATATATGTTATGTTTTATAATGATTGAGTAAAAGTACACCATGTACCTCTGAATTGTGGAGTTAAAGTACAAAGTAGCATAAAATGGAAATACTCAAGTAAAGTACCTCAACATGTTATTTATGTACAGTACTTGAGTACATTTACTTAGTTACCTTACAGTATAATGAGTACTTGTTGTGCAGAAAACTAGTGTTTGGTCATACATTTTTCATAAAATCGATTTTACATTTTACATAAATCCACTTTGGTTATAACATAATGTACTATCTGCAGTTGTAGCCATTAATGCGTGTTCTGCACTCCAAAAGCCTCCCTAAAAACGTTAAAAAGGCCAGATAAATGTTTGATTCAAAGTTTTTTTCTTCTAACAATTCGGGTCCCGTTCCTCTAACCAGCTGTCAGGAACACACAGAGAGGTTTTTTTTCTGCCTTTTGTTTCGTCCTCTATGGAAATACGCATCTGTTCTCCGGCCACACACACAGCCTCAGAAAAGGAATTGGAAAGCTGCAGTTAGTCTTCTGCTTTAATCCATTATTTATGTTTTTAATCAATTTGTTCCCTGAGTTTTTTCTACTTGCTTTCCAGTTGATTCCTGAATAGCATAATCTATCTTTTCATAGTGAGCACAACAAAGTCGGGAGGACTCTTTTGAGACTGAAGGAACTCTTTTTTTTTGTCCAATAAATCACTATAGAATTTAACTTTACACAAATATTCAGATGGGCTGGTTATTGAGAAAAGGGCGTGGCAAAATGTGCTGAACAGCGCCATCTAGAAGGAAAAAGTAACATTTATTTTTAGAGACATCATCCCAACAGGGTGTCGGCCATTTTGAATTTAATGTAGTATTTTAAAGAGGACATATTATGGTAATTTCAGGTGTATATCACTATATACTGTAGTTTCTCTACTCTGACATGTTTCCATGTTTTAAGGTTCAAAAAGCTCTTTATTTTTCTCATACTGCCTGTGCTGCAGCACCTCTTTTCACCCTCTGTCTGAAACCAGAGCCCAGTCTGCTCTGATTGGTTAGCTGGCCGGCTCTGTTGTGATTGGTCAACCGCTTAGAGATGTCCTGCCCCTTAGCTTATCACGTACAATGTGTTGGAGCGCTAGCCAATAGAAGTGCAGGTGTTACATAGAGGCATACTGTATTAGCATCAAAATATACTTAAAGTACCAAGAGTAAAAGTAGTAATTGTGCAGATTGGTCCATTTCAGAATAATATATATGATATGTTTTATAATTATTGATCATTAAAGTGTTCTCAAAGCTGGTAAAGGTGCAGCTAGTTTGAATAACTTTGTATACTGCAGGGTAGCTTGTGAATTTACTCCAGGTGGAACTAAAGTCTGATTTAACACTTGATTATATTTCACATCATTCATCCAGATCTGCAAAGTAACTAAAGGTATTCAATCAAAGTAGTGGATTAAAAGTACAGAACTTACCTCTGAATTGCAGTGGAGTAGAATTTACTTGAGTACAGCTCTTGAGTAAATGTACTTAGTTACTTTACACACTGATAGGACTGAGTATGCTGACAGCTGAATTGGGGTCTGGTGCTGACCTCTAGTGGAGGATTTGTCTTTTTTTACAGCAGATGAAAAAACTCAACTGTTGAGTATCCATGTGTTTTTAATGCACTGCTGTTTTGAGGTCTTTCGGATATCATTACTTATTTTTAAATTCGCGTTTGTATTTGTATAATCTGCTGGTTAATCATACATTAATTTAAAATACTTTATAGAACCTTTACCTTAGGAATTATATTGATTCATTGATAATAATTACAAAAGACTGGGGGGGAAAAAAGAGTATAAGTGGATTTAAAAAACTTTTTTAGTGTACGGTTTAGCGAAGAGAAATTAAAAACTTGTAATTCGGTATCTAACACACTAAAATAAACAAGAAAATCCACTTCCTGTCTTACCCTGTATAATAGTTTGATGTAAATGTAAATAATAAAGCTTCATATGAAACAGCTGTATGTGTTCAGGATGCACAGACAATCCACATCATTGTAAAAACACTCAGCAGTCCAGAGAGATTTAAAACATTTTATTGGCAGAAAGAGTGTATAAAAGCAATCAAAGCTGTAAAAAATATATTGTTTGATTACAAAAGAATGTCTTTGAAGAAAATTATAGTTAGGCACTTCGGTGGAGCATCGTGAAACCTCAATGTCACAGGTTTGAGTACAATATCAGTTCTTTATAAAATACATTTAACATAAAATATTTGTGTTAATAATCAAACAATTAGTTTAGCTTATAGGAAATGGGCTCGTCTGTGTCTGCCTCGCTCAGTTATGTTTTGTGACTTAAACTAAACCAAACCAATAACACTCAAAAAGTGATCAAGGCGGTGGTAGACCATAGCTTATTTCTGTGTTCTGGTGAAATTACAGTATTTTTAAAAGGAGTCTGAGGGCTAGGAAAAGAGCACAGATGTACGTTAGCTCCCCTGAGAAGGGCTGTCTGAGTCTAAGGTAAAGTGGTACAAATATTCAAAATATAGCGTATACTTAAACTGATATTGACTGGCTTTAATACGTATTGCTACATTACTTTGCGTCCATGCTGATACTCTTGTCTCTTTCTTTAACATGGCAGCGTGCTGATCTCTCATTCACTTACTACGAATAAGTAGTTAACTTAAACCACCCGAATTCAGAAGTACTATCCATTTAAAGACATATTATGCAAATGTTCAGCTTCTTATTTTTATTTAGTGTCTCTACTCTGACATGTCTCCATGCTTTAATGTTCAAAAAGCTCTTTATTTTTCTCATACTGTCTGTGCTGCAGCACCTCTTTTCACCCTCTGTCTGAAACCAGAGCCCAGTCTGCTCTGATTGGTTAACTGGCCGGCTCTGTTGTGATTGGTCAACGGCTTAGAGATGTCCCGCCCCTCACGTACAATGTGTTGGAGCGCAAGCCAATAGAAGTGTGAGTGTTAAGTAGTGATGTCACTATGTTGCAGAAGTAAACAAAGGAGTCCGATAGAGGCTTTTTTCGTTTACATGCACACAAACCTATATAAAAGCACCTTAGGAAATGGAAAACCCCCAAAAGCATAATAAGGCCTCTTTACTGTAAATTCATTCCGGTTGGATGTTACTAAAAACCAGAGATCAGTTCAGTAACAAAACACTGCATCTTTTTTTATTTCTTGCAGTCAGTACCATCGGGTATATAGTGGTTATGAGGATTAACACTGTTTTTGGCATTATTATTATTATTGTATACAATTCATTTAGAGACATTGTGAATCAAAATAAATGTAAAAAAGGTTTATGGAGTGGCATTGAATGCACCATGGAAGCCATAAGCCATGTTAACGGGCACGTTGGCTCTGGCCAGTTCTTCAAATGTCTTGGCATCCAAAACCAGGAGGAACGTTCCTTTATCCTGCAGAGAACAACGTGTTATTAGTTTCAAATCAAGAGGCTCAACGGCAACACGGACTGTTCAGTAACATGCTGCTCTGTATAGAAGGAAAAAAACATGAAATGTGTAATATTAGAAGCTATTTGGACATATTTCAACAACAGACTATTACAAACTGCTGCTGATTAGAGCAAAGTGTACATTTTCCTCTTTTTCCATTTGATTTGCTTTTTATCTGCATTTCATGTCTGTTGCTTTGTCTTTCATGGAGAAGCTCTTTGTGACAACTGCTCTTGAATGTTGCTTTAAAAATAAATGTGTTTGCTACTTGATACGCTTTACAGAGAGGAGGTTAATAATACGATCTAGCACTACTTGAGTTCAGGGCTTTGCCCAACATGCTTTCAGGAAACAGCACAACAACAACACCTTCAGACGGCTCGTGCTTTTTAAATAATAGGATTTAAATGTAATTTGTATTGACATCCTGGATTTAACTGCGGCTTTTGATACTGTGGACTACAACATTTTAGTGCCTCGGTTACAGCACCTAGTGGGTATTTAATACCCACTAGGTGCTGTAACCGAGGCACTAAAATGTTGTAGTCCACAGTATCAAAAGCCGCAGTTAAATCCAGGATGTCAATACAAATTACATTTAANGTCACCCTTTAACCAGGTCAGGGTGGACTTTGTGTCCAACTAGCTGCCAACAGTTGGACACAAAGTCCATCATACAATATACATGAGTCGGATGAAATATTCATAGACCAATTGACACAGGATGCATTTAAATAGTTTAACGCTTAGGAAAAAAAGCAGAAATGTCTGTAGGTTTTAGGGATGCAAAGATATCAACAGCAAGTTAGTTAGTTCTACTGATAACAAGCTTTCAACTCAACTCAACTCAACTCAACTTTATTTATAAAGCCCTTTTCAAAACAGCCGGAGCTGAAACAAAGTGCTGTACACGCCATAAAAAACAAAAACAAAACAACAATAACAATAAATAACAATATAAAAACAACAAAACCAATGAAGCATATAAAAACAAACAGANTGGAAAATCGTCCAAACGGCAACAGACTTCAGATGATGGCTAATGGTCCGGCCCTCAACAGCTCTACGCCAATTATGCGATGTCATCATATGCCGTTTCCATGGCAACGCATCCCTCGCCAAAAAACACGATGTTGTGTTAACTCAATGGCAAATTGTCCAAACGGCACCACACTTCAGATGACAGTTGATGGTCCGGCCCTCAACACCTCAATATCACAATAGTGAGTTTTCCTCAAAAGCTGTTGCCATGGCAACGCATCCCTCGCCGTTAAGCACGATATTGCTAAAACTCCTGTTTAAATGTTCAAAAAGTGTTCAAATTTCACATGTGTGCTAACGGTCAACCCCTCGAGACATATATGTGTCAGTTTTGAGATTTCGTCAAATGTCGTTGCTATGGTAACTAAATGGTCGCCGTGAAACACGGTTCTCTCATAACTCCAGTTAACTTGCTCCAAACGGCCCAAAACTTCACAGGTTTGATAACGATGCAGCCCTCAACACATCTAGGCGTATTATGGGGTGTCATCAAATTCCGTTGCCATTGCGACAGATCACTCCCCATCAAACACAATGTTTGTGATACTGCTGTAACTCCTGTGTACGTTGTCCGATCGGCCTGAAACTTCCCACGTTTGCCAACGGCCGAGTCCTCGAGACATCTGCCTGACGTCGACGTGCGGACAACAGCCTGCGGAGCGTCGAAGACCCGCTCAACGCTGCTCGCAGCTTTAATATCCTTTTAGTTTTAGACTGCAGGACAGTGAATGTAACAGCTTGATGCCTCGAATGAACATTTATGATCAAATCCATAACATAAACATGATCAAAGTAAAGACAATGTTTCTTCTTGTTAACAAATGAAGACCCTTACAACTACTGTGTGTGTCACAGCCTGACATATCCCCTTCCTCTGTACCATAGAGCTCCATTGTTGTGAAAACTCATCAGAGACACAACGCGTAACCCTGCAGTGTATCATGGGAGGTGCTGATGCCACAGACTGGAGGCTTTGATGAAATTATAAAAGCAAGTGGGAGCATAAATTGGTTTCTCTCATATCATCTTCTTCATGCTATTTAGGCAGGAACAATACGTTGATACAGTTACTTAGCAACAGTAATACTATTTCCCCCACAGGAAGTTTAGGTATGAAGGATATTTGATTTATTTGAATGTGTTTCCTGGGGGTGATTAAAGAGAAGTATTAAGCTTGAACAAAGTAACAGAGTTGTGTTTTGATTGACAGGTGTCTCTGCCGTTCACAGTCTGCTGTTTGCTGGTCACCTGCTCGTCCATTCTATCTCTTCTAAATTCAGTTTTTCATGCCTACAATTACTGATAATAATGATGATGATAATTATAGTGAGGATGGCAATACTGATTGTGATGATGAGTGGTAAAGCCAATTTTCAGCAACGAGAATCCCATGAACGCTACTCCAAATACTAATATATTATTAATACAGTAATATTACTGTAATATGTATAATTATCATATGCATTCAGGACTACATGTCATATTAGCTTATTTCATATACGGTAACTCTTGACATGTAAATGCATTACATTGGATAATATTCTGAATAAATATATGCTATCCTCTTTCATATCACATCGCATATGGTGCGTGTACTGTACTATACCGTATCTGATAAATGTCTTGTGGCAGATATTTGTATGTATTCGGCTAAAATGTTTAGTTTATTCGCTTTGCGCCCATTGTGAATTCCTTATGAGGATGAACACTAATGAGAGTTTTGCTGCAGGCGCCTCCTGATTGATATTTTCAGCTCATCCAATCTGCTTCAATGAAATGAAATGAAGATATGGAGCTCACTGCCAACACAGTGACTCATAGGCAACAGGCCTTTAAGGTGATATCAAACACTTCAGTATACTGTGTGATCCAAAAGCTAACGTTACGGGAATTGATAGAAATGACTCCTTACTAAATGTGACTTGTGTTGTATTGTAAATACAAATTCAAATCTAACCTTTGCCATTTTCTAGCTGCCATGTGCAGATATTGCTGAAAGCAAGAGAGAAATTAAGAGAAACCATCATCATTCAGACAGAATGTTCCAATATGAATGTTGTTGCTGAGCTGAGTACAGTATTTTCAAAAAGACTTATTTATAAACTTATTTAGTGCCACAAAAGTAATACATATTGAAGAAAATATCAAATTATTCAAAATGTGTGCTGCTCAGGAGTTGAGTTGAATAAGAATGGACACAATCCAAAAATAGGCAACTGATGATTAAAAATTAAAATAGTTTTTCTTTTGCATTATTATTATAATTGTTTTTATCTTTCTCTCAATCGTTTTGATGTGTCTTGGAGCACCAGATTTTATTTGTACAGAAAATATAGACCTATATAGAAAACAAACGTGCTTAGTAACTGTGAACTGTGACATGTTCCCCCCACAACTTAGTCAGGGTGCTTTGACCTTGGACAGGGGGCAGAATGTAAAGGATGCTGCATGGTCACCTGCACGCGCCTCTTCCAGCAGTGCGTGCACAGCTGACGTGAATGTGAAGCTGCTCGCACACATCTGGGCGCGTATCAAACAATAAGACACATCTCCCATCCCATCACTCAGTCTGTGTACAGGAAGTCCATATGATTCCGCGCCGCAGCGTGCATGCGAGCGCGGCACTGCAGAGCCTCCCCCCCCCTCCCTCTCACATCCTCCCCCTCCTCACACACCATGGACACGTTTCTCACACACTCCCGCCGCTACAATTAACCCTGAGTACGGTCGCGAGCTGCGGACAGAAAGCTTCCCGCCTCCCTCGCTGACTCCGGAACCCCAGTCCCCCCGGCTGGAGGAGACATGAAGCGGCTTTTGGTGAGAGCCGTGCGGGACAAAGCCATGAAGCCCTGGCTGCTGCTGGCTCTGCTCGGATTGAGGTGAGTGAGTGAGTGAGTGAGTGAGTGAGTGAGTGAGTGAGTGTGTGTGTGTGTGTGTGTGTGTGTTTGTGTGTGTGTGTGTGTGTGTGTGTGTGTGGGGGGGGGGGATGTGTTACCTGTGAAGCCGGTGCAGTGGCGGCCTGGTGGAACACATTCAACCTCTGCTTTGTCTGTTCAGAAGAACCAACCATGTTCATATCCTCTGTGCGTAAATCCGGTGGATGTTCCGGTGACAGGTTGGTGTTTGAGCTGTGATTCACAGGGTCTGTCAGTGTGTCAGGTGGGCTGTATGGAAAGAAGACCTCTGGCAGTTGGTCAAAGAGGTGAAAGGACATGTTAAATAGAAGCTGCTAATCTTTTCTTATAGATTTTCTTTATTCAACAAATCACTCTGCATAGGATATTCTCTCTGAGGACATTCTACAAAGTCAGATTTGGAAGGTTTATAAATGTCAAGACAACACATTTTAGATGTTGATACAATTATTTGTGAACATTTTTGTTTTGGTCTATCACCAATGTTCCTGCCGTTCATAATCCATCTCACAGATGATCGATTTACAGTGTGCATTTAGTGATCTGTTAAATTGAAATCTCTGATCCACTGCAGCTCCTATTTCTTTTGTTTTGAGAATAAAATACAATTTAAAATAGCAGCACACCAGAGATATGCTTTAGTCCTTCCTGGATACTGCACCTCGCATTATCGACATTCATATCGCTCCCTCCCTCTTCCCAGTAATTGGCTCTGATTTTTCTCATTCTATGATCATAGTTTGTAACGTATGTTTAAATGTTTAGTCTAAACTAAGATTAATTCTGACAGCATCAGATAAGATATTACAATGGTTTTCACAGGCTGAACCTCTAGATTGACATTTTCTTTGTGAGTAAAGAAATAGTTTTCTTAATGTTCATTCATCGAGATGTTTGAGCCTCACTGTGCTTAGTGTGTGAGGTGGTTACTCAGTTCATCACAGTTTGGGAGCCAGTGACAATCAAATGTGTGAAATGGAAGACATCTTGTTCCTAGAAAATGAA